AGAGGGGGAATGCCCCAAATCCCACCCCCCCAAAAGATGAAGGGCCCCCTCCCTCAAGTCCCAGAGTCCTTTGCACCCATTGCAGCAGCTGGGGCTCAGCAGGACCAGCAAGCAGGACGCCTCCCACTACCCTGCAGATGTGCAGACCAGCAGGCCTAACGGTGAGCAATGCCCAGACCCCCGTGGGGGTGGCACTTGGCGGTGCACAGGCACTGCAGACTCCCCGGGCCCAGCTTCCCACCTCCCCCCGTGAGCCGAGCTACTCACCCCAATGATGCTGTTCAGCTCCCCCATGGTCACCTGCTTGGCCCGTTCCACGGCCTGAAGCACTTGCTGCTGGTGCTGCCCAGGAAAGCAGGGAAGTCAGGGGTGCTGAGACCCCTGGAGCCACAGCTGGGTGGGGAGGGAGGTGGGGCCACAGTGGGGTCCACACAGGGATGATCCAGGGGGGCATTTAAGCACCCAGCCCACCCCACCCCTTGGGATCCTGCCCAGCTGTTCTGGCCTGGGTGCTTCTCCCCCATGGGCCCCGCGAGATGCTGCTGGTGCCCCCCCAGCCTACGGCCGCTCACCTCTTGTGTCAGGAAGGGGACGATCTGGGCACAGATGGCGCTCAGCCTCTTCACGATCTCGGCCTGGAGGAGGAAGGGGGCATCCGGGTCACCTGAGCACCGAATCCAGGCTCCGGCGGTCCCTTGGGCCACATGGGTGTAGGAGCCAGGTAGATACCGTCGACACAGCCTGGGCACGGGGTCAGTTCCCCACGTCCCTTCCCAGCCTGCTTCAGGCTTGGTGTAGCCCCACGTGGGACTCTGGGCTCAACTACAGCTGTGGCTTGTGCCCGCTGGGAGCTGCCAGCTGGGCGCAAGCGCTCGTTAGCGCTGCGTAGCCCTCGGGCTGCTCCTACAGATCCGGGAGCTCTCCACAGCCTCGCCATCAGGCGGGGAAACTGAGGCAATCATAGGGCCCATCTCTAACCACAGCTGGATGCAGAACCGGTGCCCACACCACGCTCACGCCCGGAGCAGGGAGCACAACCCAGGCTCCAACATCCGCTTTGCCCGGCACTTAAAACGCCCCTCCTTCCTTCCTCGCCATCCCCCGGCTGGGTCCCCAGGCTGGTCCCGGATGCCCACAGGATCAGGAGCCGAGGAGGGCGCAGCCAAGGGCAGCGCCGGTGCCAAACCTCCCCGCTCACAAAAGGAGCAAGCGCGGGGGGCTGAGCCAGCTGGAGAAATATGGCAGTTGACTTGCCACTTTGTCAGGCACGGCTCCAAGCTAATTTCCCTGGCAGAGAGCCCCGCGATGACTGGGTTGATAAATCTGAAGAGGGAAAGCAAATTACGGCAGCAACAAAGGGGCCGGGGCCGGCTGGAAAACACTGCGCCGGCTCCGAGCAGGGGGGAAGCTGAGGTCCGGCTGCCACCAGCCGCTCCGGGCACCCCGCCATGCCCTCCTGGCCCCGAGATTGCCGGCGGAGGGGAGCCCGTGCCAAGGCTGGCTGGGAAAGGGGTGAAGGTCCTTAAAGGTGTGGGCAGGCATCTCAGCCCCTATGGTGTCGAAGGGATTTAGGCACCTCAATATACCCACTAAGGCTTAAGGACATGGTCCCTGCTCAGGGACCCCATCCCTGCCCTGTCCCCCCTCAGGGTCCTGACATTTGTACAGTGCCGAGCGCAGCAAGAGCCGCTCCCCACCAGGACTTGGTGCCACCCAGCTCAGCGTCGGCGAGCTCCGGGTTCAACGCCCCCATTGAGGGCAACGTGGAAGGATTGTGCCCCCGGCGGGGAGCGCCTGCCCCCCGTTGGGCCCGGGCCCCTGGTACCCACCTGCTTGTGCATCTCAATGTTGAGGCCGTAGGACATCTCGTAGTACTGCAAGGGAAGCCAGACGATGGCCCAGTTACGGGGGGGGGGGGTCCCACGGGGCAGTAGCGGGGTCCCTCTCTTGGGCACTGGCAGAACAAGCCCCCCCCCTTGGCCCTCCGGCCCCCTGGCAGCTGCAGGAGAGGGGCTTTGTGCAGCCCACCCGCCCCTGCCCCACGTCGTACTCACACCAGGTCCTGCCTGAGATAGCGGGCACCAATGCCCGGCTGCCTTCCCCCCGCAACACGCCTGCTCTACCCACTGGCGCACACTCCTCCCGGGGAACTGGCACCCGTGGGGATGGGGGGGGGCAGAAGGGAGTCGTAGCCAAGCGGGGCAGGACCCCAGCCTCATTGCCGGGGCAGGGTGCCCCCCCCAAGATGTTTGGGCATCTCCCTTGGAAACAGCTGGGCACTGCTAGGGCTCCCACCCCACGCTGGCCAGGAAAGATGCTGCTCCCTGCCGCCATGGGGAGGAGGATGAGGTGGGGGCTGGGTTTCTGCGCCTTTGCTTCCAGGAATCCCATCCCACCCCGGGGGGGGGCAGAGACCTGTACACTTAAGAGATGGAGGGAAACAGGAAGAGAGGGAGCATGGCCTGGATCCAGGCTGGCACCGAGGCAGCAGACAGCAGCCGCCCCATCAGCCCATTGCTCCTTCCTGCCTGATGCTCCCCCCCACTCGGGGAGACCCCCGGGGTGACCTGCTGGCAGCACCCACTGGCTGGGGGGGTCTCCTCCCAGGCCAGGCTCTCAGGAGCCACGGTGTGCAGAGGACCCAGCTAGGGGGTGAGCCTCCCACCCTGTTGGCTCCGGTGGGGTGGGAATAAGGGGGGGGTCTTACCATGACGTAGTGCCGCTGCATCTCCGTCTTCTCGCTGGCCAGCTTCTCACATTCCAGCTTCAGGCTGTGCACAAACCGCCTCGGTCGCAAGGGCAGGCTGGTGCCACCCTGCCCTCCCCGCCGGGGTCCCAGCATCAGGGCTGGCAGCCCCGCTCCCCTGCTGCCCCGCTGCCGGGGGGTTGTGGCACCCAGGACGCCATCAGCCCACCCCCGGCGCCTGTATTCCCGCCCTGGCATCTCGGCTCCCGTCCTGCACCCCTTTCCCCCCCGAGCATTTGCTTGCGCCAGCTCTCGGACCTCCCTCTGCCCCCACCCTGCAAATGCCTCCTGCCCCAGGACCTGACCCCCAGCTGCTCCCTGCCTCCCCCCTGGGTAGTACCAAGCTCTGGGCCCTGCCCCCTTTACCTGGGACCTGGTGCATGGCCTCTTGCAGTCTCCTGACCCCCAACCAGCCTCCTCCGTCCACCTCCCCATGGGCTCACGTGCTCCTCCCAGCTCCCCCCTCCCCAAGCAGGGGGCTGAGCCCCATCCTCCCTATCAGGCCCCTACCTTGCCTGCCCCCCAACCCGGCTGCCACAGGCACCGCTCTCCTCCTGCCCCCCGCAATGACCCCCAGTGCCCC